TAGATCCAAATGTTATTAACCAAAATGGTTAACAAGAATATGAAATAAAAAGGTGTTTGAGAGAAAAACAATCTGAGAAAGAATTCTTTGAGAGAAAAATGAATGTGAGTTGCGAGCTAAAACCAAAGCCACAGCTTATATATAAATTTAATAATTGCAAGATTAGTCCTCCAAGTATGAAGAAAGTACTCTGCTACCCCTGAAGTTCACTAGAAAACGAGGTGCAGTCTCTCACTTCAAACCATCAACTTTCTATTTATTATAGCTTTAGTCCTTTATATTTATAGCTAACAAAATATAACAAAAGTAAAGATTGATTTAGAAAAGTCGTATCTTTTGACATATTGGTATTTTCATATTTTCATGATAAGTATGCAATAATTATGATAATTAATTACAGATATTTCAATTAATTATCATAAGTTCCATGTAAAAAACTCATAGCTTTACTCAAGGATTATCATCATCTACGATTTTGAACAACTAGGAAGAAGTCCTCCATTCGTTTAGCATATTTTGAGTATCAAACCATCTATTTTGATGAACTACCTTGTCGAAAAACATCATGCCTCCCTTAACACTCTATGAACCGAAACTCACATGAAATGCCCCTATGTATGTATGTATGTATGTATGTACGTACGTATATACGTACGTACGTACGTATGTATGTATGTATGTATGTATGTATGCATGCATGTATGTATGTATGTATGTATGTATGTGTATGTGTATGTGTGTACGTATGTATGTGTATGTACGTACGCATGTATGTGTGTACGTACGTATGTGTATGTGTATGTATGTATGTACGTATGTATGTATGTATGCATGCATGCATGTATGTATGTATGTGTATGTGTGTACGTATGTATGTGTATGTGTATGTATGTATGTACGTACGTATGTATGTGTGTGTATGTGTATGTATGTATGTATGTATGTATGCATGTACGTATGTATGTATGTGTGTATGTATGTATGTATGTATGTATGTACGTATGTATGTACGTATGTATGTATGTATGTATGTATGTATGTATGTATGTATGTATGTACGTGTGTATATATGTATGTACGTATGTATGTGTATGTGTGTATGTATGTATGTATGTATGTATGTATGTATGTCTGTATATGTATGTGTGTTTGTATGTATGTGTGTGTGTATATGTATGTGTGTATGTATGTATGTATGTTTGTATGTGTGTATGTATGTATGTGTGTGTATGTATGTATGTATGTATGTATGTTTGTATGTGTGTATGTATGTATATGTGTGTGTGTATGTATGTATGTTTTGTAGAGGGGCATGTTTCATATCTAATTTTCATTAAGAATCGAGGGATCGTCCACAACACGGAACATGCATATTCATCAGGAATATTGATGAATATGTCATGTGTTATTCATCAAGAGTGTTTGATTCGTGATGAATAACACGTCCATATACATCATGAATGTGTGATTAATGATGAATAACACTTCTATATTCATAATAAATATTCATCCTGAAGAGGGACATGTGGTGCGTTGTGGGCGGTTTTCAGGTTCCTAATGAATTTGGGGTCCCTAACAGTACATCCCCATATATATATATATATATATATATACATATATACATATTATAATTTTATATATATATGGAAGATCATGTGAGAAGTTAGTCGGTCAATTTACGAGAAGTACGAGAAGAGCTAGATCACATGTGATTATGAAGTTGCCCATGCTATGACGGTCATTGCAACGTGTTTGGATGACATTTGATTACATGTGACTTGGTTCTTCCCGTAAATTAATCGCCTTGTCGTTTGAACATCTCTCTCTTTTTATATGTGTGTGTACTTGTTTTGGAATTTACTTGATTTGGTTAGACATAATTAAGTTCACTACAAAATTGGTCCTTTAGAATGCTAAATCAATCTTTGGCATCAAAATGGAGTATTTACTTAAAATTTGAAGTTTACACCGGCAGTAGTTGGATGTGTTATATATTACAATAATGTTAAAATAAGTTGTTAAGTTAAAGTTAGACCACCTAATAAATTGTGTCGATAAAATTGAGCAACTTAAAAGAACATAAAAGATAATCATATTATTAACATTTTTATATCACATTTAAGAGAACTAAGACATAAATTTTCAAAAGTTTTATGTAAAAGATTTACTTCTCAAGTTTTCTTGATTTATCTAGTTAATGTCATTTGTGGGGTTGTTTTATTTTATTCAAACAAGTAATAAATATGAACCAAAACAATAACATCTGAGTTGAATATGGGAACCAAAAAGTTATTCCGTCTAACAGATGAACTTTATATATATAGAGAGAAAGTTGGGTTTTAGTGAGAACAAAATATTTCTATACAATCATTTACATTCAACTATATTTATTTACTTATTTTTATTATCATGAACAAAACTTTAACAATTCATGTATGTGAAAGTGATTAAATGTATGTAAAAGTTCGTGAAAATAACTTAAAAGTGAAGATAAAGATAAATGAATATAGTTGAAAGTACTGAAAATAGTTGAAGAAAATTAAGTTTGATTAAAAAGTCAACTAATTCAAAGGCTAAGAAGTGTTTTATCATTCTTAATTACATGATCTCTCTTCTACATACACACACACACACACACACACATAGGTGCAGGTTCTATTTAGAACGTAATATTGATTAGAAATCCAAGAATCGTCCACAACATATGACACATGACATATTCATCAAGGATATGGACGTATTATTCATCATGAATGTGTGATCGTGATGAAAAACACATTCATATTCATCATTAATGTGTGATTAATGATGAACAACACTTCTTATATTTTATTATTAAGGTGTGATTCATGATAAATAACAATTATGTATTCATCATTAACATGTTATTCATGATAAACCCTGAAGAGAGACGTGACGAGTGGACGGTTCTTGGGTTCTTAATCAATTTTAGGTTTCTAATGAAACACTCTCTCAGAGAGAGAAAGAGAGAGAGAGAGAGAGAGAGAGAGAGATTTAGAATCATGTAGGAACACACTATTTTCATAAAACACATGAGATCACATAAATAACACTGAATCTTAACAAACAGAATATGTGAAGATAAACTTTTACAATGTTTTTGTTGTGAATGTTCTGTATTTTTTGAACTTTTACAATTATTTACTATTAAGTTTCTATGGAAATTTATGATTTCACAAGTCTTGTAAAAACAGAATGATATCATGTAAACCCAAACTCTATTTGTATGTACACACTTATAACAAAAGTATTTGCTACAGAAAACACTTTTGATTTAATTCTTTATATAATGCATATTGGATTGCGATGCATCAATGCTACTAAAATTAACTTTTAATAACCCATGTTTTCGTATGTTCCCGATGCATATTTCATTAATATTTTGTTTTTATTTTTGTTTTTGTTTCTTTTAAATATATAAAATATACAGAAGTTTGAATGTATATAGTATGATCTTAATTTTAATTTACTATCTTATCTCAACCGATCTAGAAAAAGAAAACTTGATAATATAAAATATGAAGCGAGCCGACTAATAAATATATTTTTTTTATTAACTTAAATATCCAATCTGTTATGTCAATCGACTAATTTCAGGAAGACCATTTGTTTTGTAAGTAAGCTGGAGTCGGTGCATTTGAACTTTCATAAAAAAAAGGGATTTTTATTTCTCCTTACATTTGAACCTGGAACCTCCAAACACTTTTAACCTTTGAAACTTAATCTAAAACCAATCGGACATTATCTTTATGGTTACATAAATATTTATGCAAATATGATGAGATACTAATTATATGGTTTTACATTTCATTATAAACTTCTAAGATATAAATTATGTTTTCATTAAAATAACTAAATTCAATAAGTAAATTTGACAAGCAACTTAACCAGTAAATTTAGAGGTGACAGAAACAGCGGATGCAATGAATTGGATATCGAGTGGAAATAGTTCTGTTTTAACCACGGTTAAAAGGGGTTGAGTTGGCTACGATGGTTTGAGTTGCTAACACTTTTTCCCATGTGTTTTTTTTTCCATACATATCCCAGGTTTTACTAATTAGTTTGTGTATATCATAACTAACTCCAAAAGCCTAAGATTAACTTTTAAACAAACCTATAATTAATAAGAACTATAGCAAAATTGGTTTTATACGATGTGTGAAATGGTTAATCGTCCTAATAAAAAAATTATTGAACCAAACCAAAAATTCATCTTTCTAAAAATGTTATAATATGTATATAAGAAAATTATATGCATTTCAACAAGTTTTTAGGACATTTTGAAATAAATGTTCTAAAATAGGTCCCAAAAAACTTGTTAAAAAGCCTAAAATCATATGCCCTATAAACTTATTTTAATGATTTTAGATACGACGTTTTATAGTTTATACATATAAACTTAAGTTGTATAAAATATTATATTAGAACACTTAAGAGCCGTTTACCAATCACTTACCTAGTAAACGATTGCCGGTAAAATTCAATGTTATCACTTTCTTACCCCGGTAAGATTTTAATTAGTATACCGCTACCCAGTAAGTGTTAACCGTGGTAAAAGTCGTTGTCGTTACTTATCGAATAACACTTTCGATTCTTGTATCGCTCTTACCGGATATGATTCTTGGTACTTGTCATATTCATCCAGTAAGATAATATGACTTGATTAGCACTTACTCGAGTAAACATTTAGTAAACGACCCTTAAATATTATATGCATCTTATAAAACAAATTTTGTTATAGTGAGATTTTGAATTTAAATACAGAATGTTGTCAATAAAAAATAAATAAATCTAAGATCCAAAAATTAATATGGGCGTTAGCACTAAAAACAAGTTCTCAATACATATTTATTAGGTCCAAATAACACCAACTAAAATACCAAATAATACTTGTCACGAAAAGTCTATGGTTAAAAAAAGGGGAAATTGAGCTAAATAACTTCTTCATAGGATCCGACCAGTAAATTTCTATGATTCATTCAAGTTTTGTTCCTGGGTAAAATGGTTGCTTTCAGAGGATTCTTCATCACTACAGTAAAAGCAAATGTCTCAGTCGGATCGGGTGGGTGACCCGGGACCGGTATCCACTTGAATGCATGAACCATCCTAGCCAGCAACATGTTAACATGCAACGTGCCCAAACTCCACGCCGGACATATCCTCCGTCCGGCCCCGAACGGCAGCATCTTCACTCCCCGCATTCCAGTTACGTCCACATTCGCCCCTTCTCCACCGTTCAAGAATCTTTCCGGCCAGAACTCTTCCGGAGCTTCCCATACATCTGGATCCTCCGTCAGCCAGGCTGTGTAGAACTCCACGTTCACGTCCGGAGGAATCACGTATCCTCCGAGTTCCGTCGGCTCAGTGGCGGCGTGTGACAATACAAAGTGGCTAGGCGGGTGTCGCCGGAAAGTTTCTTTCACCACCGCATTCAGATACGCCATGTCCTCCACGTCACTCTCTTGAACCACCCCATTGACACCAACTTTTCTGATTATTTCGTGGTAGAGCTTTTCTTGGATTTCTTGATTCATCACCAAATGGAGCAACGCCCATTCGACGGTGGTGGCGCTGGTGTCCGTCCCGGCGTTGATCACTTCGGACACAAGGGTCACGAGCTCCTCCTCACCCAACCGTCCTCGGCCGGCTGGTTCAAGATTGAAAAGTGAATCGATGTAAGCAGCACCAACCGGGCTCACCATCTCCAAACTATCCAGTTCGAGTCGGTTAATACTAGGGTTTTTAATATTATCTTCACGGCTCTCACAAAATACTCTTCTTGCTCTTACCAATGGTACCAAACACTCCATCTGTCTCCTCCGCAGCTCCTTGGCCGCCACCAATTGACGACGGAAGAGTGGGAGGAGCACCGGCATGAAATCCGGTAGCTTCGGCATGGTGATCATCATCACATCTTTCAGTATGCTCTCTATGTTCTTGATTTTTCCTTTAGAAATTCTTGCACCAAAACAAAGGCATATCAAAATGCTACAAATGGTAAGCCTACAAGTACTCATCACCTCCACAAACCCATGTTGTGAATTCTCAGATTCCAACATTTTCAAGTGTTCTTCCAAGGCCCATTTCCTTATCCAGCCACATTGTCGGATTCGGATCGGGTTTATCAACTCGGTTACAAAGTTTCGTCTAAGGGTCCGCCAGAGTGGACCGTACTGAGCAGAGTTGATGGCACATTTTCCGACACTAAACAGTAGTCGGATTGGGGAGTCTGGCGGCCGGCTAGCAAACGTTGAACCCTTTTGGACTAGGGCTTCATGGATAAGGTCAGAGCTAGTGACGATGATTAGGGTTCGTTGGCCCATCTGCATGGTGAAGATCGGACCATACTTAGCTCGCAAGTCACGCACCACGTACATGAATGGACGTTTCTGAAGGATGACCTGAACCAGATTGCCGACAATTGGCCAACCTGGTGGCCCTGGTGGAAGATTTTTCATGCCAGAAGAGACGATGGACCGGCGAATCAACCAAAAACAACAAAAGGAGCATGTTAGAAAGGCTAAGACAATGTCAAAAGATTCCATTTTAGTGGTTATGAAAAGCAAAGAGATGGATGAGTTGATAGTAAGTATGAAAGGATGGTCGTAATATAAGGGTTTATTGGCACACAGAGGCGAGGAGCTGAGTAGTAAATGAGTTGATATCTACCCTCTGATGAATCTATTGAATATGATCAGCAGATTAATTCTATTTATTATTGATAGGGTATGTAGTTGTGGGTTTTCAAATGGATGAAGTACCATAAAATACTTCCCTGTAATCTAACCTTTTTCTCCTATTTTTTCAAAATCTACTTTACAAGTACATAATCTACGACTTTGATAGAACAGAAACCTTTTTTCTTATATTTTGATTTAGCATAAAGTGGAGGCCGGACAATACCGTCCATCAAAATAGTCCCAACAAAATTTTAAGAGATATATGACAAGAATATTAAATTATTGAAGTTATAGATTTTAAATGAAAATCTCACGTAATTGCACACTTCTTTTCTATATCATTCTATGTCACATCTAGTCAAGTATCTCATTCTTCCTTGTCCTATTTTAACATGTCTCATCTAGTCGAGTATCTCATTCTTGCTCGTCTTGTCCTCAACTGTTACATCCAGTCGAGTCCTGTCAATATTTTGAACATATCATATATAGATGTATCCATAATCTCCAGAGTCGAGTCCTCTCAATATTGTGAGCGTACCATATATAGATGGATCCATAATCTCCAGCAAGTGGGGCTAACTGGGACGCATGACAAAGTACAAGAAAATTGACTTTATAGGAAGTATAAAACGGCTAAGGGTCATAATTGAATAATATTTAGAACTTAATTTTTTATATAACCAACGTCATATCTAATAGTGTTACAATAGGTTTACACGATGTTTTTGCTCATTTTAACAAGTTCTTTATGGACATTTTTAATATAAAGTTTTGTATTAGTTATTTTATACCACGCTACTGGAAAAAATATCATATAAACACAAGTATCCTATAAAAAGATAAGTTTATAGAAATGTCCTATAAAGTAATTAATGAGACAATTTAATTTAAATACGTTCTAAAAAACTTGTTAGAATTATTTAACACGTTCTATAAAATATATTATAACACTTTTAGATAAGACGTTATATAACGAAGGATTTTTACCTAAGGACATTTCCCTGGAAAATCTGTCGGTAAAGGTTGATTCTGCAACACCTCAAATCCATACATTGCATATAACACATATTTCATACATCGAATACATGTTTTAAACCCACATAGGTCCATAATACAAGAGTTTAAAATACGAAATACACAACCTCAAAAATTCCAAATACAAGTTCTTGCAAATGTAATTCCTATGAGTTCCTATCTTCCCGCATGCAAGTAAAAATAGAATCATAGTATGCCTTTCCCCTTATCACTATAGCTGGTATTACCTGCACACACATAATTGAAACACACAAAATGAGGGTTAGACAACAGTCTAGTGAGATCCCCCTTTTTCATGCAGTGTAGGGTGATAAACACCAAAACCTTTATCACAAATTCTGGCATAAAAACAAATTCTGCTTTGGTCCATCGGTCCTCTGGTCAAAAGTCAACACTTAGAAAATTTGACGCCAAGAGGTCCAGAGCCCCTCCGATTCCTCTTCCAGAGCTTCTGGACAATACATGCACGCTCAACCAGAGCTTCTGGAATTGCGCGTAAGACCATCCAGAGCCTCTCCGGACTAGCGCTCAAGGCCATCCAGAGCCACTCTGGGCTATTATAAGGAAGTTCGCCAAGTATAAAAACAATTGAAAACTCTTTTAGATTTATGACCAGAGCTTCTGGTTCCTCAATCCAGAACCTCTGGTTCAAAACCAAAATATTTATAAAAGGCTTTAAGTTTAACAAGAGCCTCTGGTTCCTCAATCCAGAGCTTCCAATCTAAAATCAAGACCAACCAGAGCTCCTCTAGTCTATTTTTCGTAAAAAGAATCCAAGTATAAAAACTCTCAAAATGATTTTTATAAACGAAGTTTAATACAGAGCTCTTATTTAGAAGATGCAGAGCCTCTGTATGTGGAAGCCTTATTTTAAAAGCAGAGCTCTGTATCTAGCGGATACAGAGCCTTTGCACAAAAACCCAAATTTTAATACAGAGCTATGTATTTAACAACTACAGAGCTTCTGTGTGATAGACCAATTTTTTATACAGAGCTCTGTATCTAACAGATACAGAGCTTCTGATTTTCACAACCGACTATGCAAAAACACTTGCATTGTTTTCAAACACTAACCAGACGCTTCTGGTTCTTTAAAATAAATACCAACCAAAGCCCTCTGGTTCCTTAACAGGTATACCCAGAGCCTTTGTGGTACCTCTGGTTCAACAGTATGATCAAAACCGTTTTATCCAAAATCCATGACCAAGGGCCATATTTTTCCCAATCCATAACATCAATATTATCATCTCTAATAAGAACAACATCTCTGAATCCTCAAATCACTAAGAAGTGAGAACTCCAATCTGTTGTATCCTAAGAGACATAATAGCAATAGTTATACCATGCACACACAACGACCATCCTTATTACATCCAGAATCCCCATCATAACAACAACTATCACAAACCACACACGACCAACCTTATTTTCCCTGAAAATCATATGAAGTATTTCATCCAACTAACAAGCTTAAGTATTCCTGTTAGAGTGAACCTATTCATAGTTTCATCAAAATCTGGTTCCCCCCACAGGTTTATATTTCAAAACCTGATTGAACCATAAGAACACTCATGTTCTTTCCAAACAGCAATTCTGGTTCCCCCCACAGGTTTATATTTCAAAACCCGATTGAACCATAAGAACA